AGTCATACCCACATGATATCTACCTTACATGCTTATTATTCCTACCCGGACATGATCTCTATCTCGTAAGTTGATTTCAAACAAGTCCTAACCGCATAAATTTATAGTTCACATGCTTTGAACAAGAAATAAAACATAAAATAATTCAAGCATCTTAGGTTTTGAAATGGAGTTTTGGGGTGGGCTCTAACTCTTGTAGTCTCCCAGTTTAGGTTCTAAAAAAGGTACCCGAGTTATCCTTGCTAGTGCTCCCTTGGGCTTGCCATACCCTTAGTCCTAAACCCATCACATGCTTGTGTGGACTAAGTTAAACTCGAGAGGATACATTCCCTTATGCCCACATGGTGAATAAATTCACACGAAGACATAAGGTGTATGAATCCCGAAGGCTACTTGCTAAGCCCGCACGGTGAATAAATTCACACGAAGGCGTCGCTTTCACCCCCGCTTAAAACAGAGTTCAGAGCTCGGATAAAGAGCCTGAGATGAAAATTTTGAAAATCTGAAATCATTGAAAAAAAATCAGTACAACTATTTATTTGAAAAATAATCAAAGATAAATAACTAGAATCGAATAAATAAATTAAAATTTCTAATTTTCGCGAAAAAAAGACAATCAGAAATTAATTTCGGCCTGACTCACTTACCTGTCCCCAGTAGAGTCGCCAAGCTGTCGGGGCCATCTTTCGGTTGGGCCCGGAATTGGGCTTCGACTCAGATTAATTGGGTTAAAGTCGTCACCGATCATTTTTAAAAAAAATTAGGATGATCGGACATCATCTTACTTGATGTGCGTTGTATCAGAAATGTGTCAGGTTCGAGAGTCGATTACGGTCAAGGAATGATTAGCACCCTTAAACCGCCCTTTCGGTACCAATTAATTTGTCGGTTGTCTTTAATTGCAAAAATTTGAAATTTAAATTAAAAATTTAAAAACCTGATTTGAGTTACTTACCTTTGATTGATTGAAATTTCTAAAAAAAAGGTCAAAAATGTTAGTCAAGAAATAATAAATAAATATTAAATAAATCAAAGAAAAATATAGTAATAAAAAATAAAAATAGAAAGAAAAAATAATAAAAATAAATTGAAGGGAAAAATGAGATAAAAAATAAAAAAATGAGATGAAATAAAATAAAATAATAATAATAATAAAAAAGTTAAATAAATCAAATGTTAAGAAAAATATTAAATTTAAAAAGTTCTAAAATAAAAACAATATGAAATAAAAAGAAATAATAATAATTTAAAAAATAAAAAAGGAATAAAAATGAAAGGCACTTAAATATAAAAACAAACATTTAAATGATTAAAATGAAACACATGTATAATATAATGCCAAACTTAAAAGAAAAATAAAGCTAACATGTGATTAATAATAAAGTCAAGTGACCAAGAAGCTAATTTGCCCAAAAATTAAAAGCAAACAATCCCACTCATGTCCAGTAGCCTTACGAACCAAACAAATCAAATTGCAAAATGAAAGGTTGGCACATTAGCCAAATCATTCGAGACCTGATCTTTTGAAACAGCAAAGCCAAACCCACCAAGCTTCCAAGCTCCATGTGACGAAATAAAACTCCATATGCATTGTTATGAAGAAAATCCAAGGTTTCTGCAACCTGAAGCAAACCATGCTTCACCTCCAACAAACCCATTTCGTGTAGGTTCCAACGAGAGGGGTGAGGAGAAGAGTAGCACTGATCCAATTCTCAAAGACCAGGTGGGAGATCCAGCCCGATAGATCCTTCTACAGCCCACTCATTATCTTCTGCTGGAACGGAGATAACGCGTATATCATTGCCCTCATCTTCACCGGTTGTTTAAAGGTCGTTGCCTTGTCGGGTTTGCGCATGAATATACACGGGAACATCGCTGCTTCTGTTTGAGTTCTGTTGTGATTTTCGATTCGAGTCATGGTTTTTAAAATCGGACCGGTTAGCGAACCGGTCATGTTACCGGTTTACTGGTTCAACCGGTTGAATCGATACCGGACGACGTCATAATTATTTAAAAAATTAAATAAAAATACCAAAAATATTTAATAAAAAATAATTTTTTATATCACAAGTCATATTCAAAGCAAGTCATAACATATATAAGTTAAAATCCATAAAATCAAGTGAAACAAAATGATTCAAATTAACTACAACATAATATTTAAGGTAAAACATATTAAATAATAAATATAATTATATAACTATAATTAAAAAATAAATTTGGGGTTAAAAAAATCATAACAAAATTATATAACAAAATTATATAACTATAATTATATAACTATTCTTTCACTTCAATCAAGCTCGAATTTTAGGCTTCAATCGAACTTTTAATATTTTTTTTTGAGTTCAAGCCTTTTTGAGTTCAAGTTTCAATATTATATTTCGAGTTTGAGTTGAACTTAATAATTTTTAGCTTGTGAATTTGAGTTGAGTTGAACTTACTTTTAAAGTTTTCAAGTTCGACTACAACATAATATTTAAGGTAAAACATATTAAATAATAAATATAATTATATAACTATAATTAAAAAATAAATTTGGGGTTAAAAAAATCATAACAAAATTATATAACTATAATTATATAATTATTCTTTCACTTCAATCAAGCTCGAATTTTAGGTTTCAATCGAACTTTTAATTTTTTTTTTTTGAGTTTAAGCCTTTTTAAGTTTAAGTTTTAATATTATATTTCGAGTTTGAGTTGAACTTAATAATTTTTAGCTTGTAAGTTTGAGTTGAGTTGAACTTACTTTTAAAGTTTTCAAGTTCGAGTCGAGCTCAGTAATACTCGAGTTCGACTTGACTCGTTTAACAAACGACGTTGTTTGGTTTAATTTAAAAAAAAAATATCGATTTTTTCTGATTTTTCTCGGTTTTTAGCCGATCCGGTTCAAATGGTTCAAACGGTTCAACGGTTCTGATCGATTCACTAATAGCGGTTCAATCGATTTAAATTAAATCGAATTAAGCAACAGTTCCCGATTGAACTGATTGAACCGATCGATCCAATCTAATTTTTAAAACAGAGATTCGAGTAGTCGATGGAAAGAGAGAGAGAGAGGTTCCGCATGATGGCGGAAGAGTGGTGATAGTAAAAAGCCAAAAACCTTTAGTCCATAGCAAGCCAACAACTTCCAGTCCCCCCTCAATGTGAAAATTTCTATGTATTTATGATGAGCCCCCTCTCAAGAGCTTAAAGCATTGCCTTTAAACAAAAATTTTCACGTTCATTTTTTAGAGAAAAAGAAGTAAACATGTGAGAGATGTGCGAGGTGGTAGGTGGGGTTGACAATTAGGGGAATAGTGGTTGGCATGATAGAATGGAGTGGATAGTTAATAATATTTTATAAAATAGTAGGAATTAAGTAAAAATCTTGTAAAAATAATAATAAAATTAATAATAATATAATATAATTTTTTTAGACCCATACAAAAACCGTGTTTTCAAAATCAAATCAAAAACTCCAAGTTGATACTGAAATTCAATTCTCTTAGTTTAGACAGCTTACCTGAACAAATACGGTGCCATCGGTCTAGGCGTGGGGATTGATGGCTCGAGTGGTTCGTTGGCCGCAAACGTTGCAGGTGAATGCCACGCGCATCCGCCGTCGCGGCGACTTGGTGAAGAGAGATCATGGAAAGGTGGAGACTTGCTCCGTACTAGGTCGGTCATCAGTTCGGGCGGGTACCGATGGACCCTCCATGCCCGATCCTGTGGTCCAACCTTTTACAGACGCCGCGCTTAGAACCAGCCCCATCGCTGTATCCTAAATTGAATTACATAAAATACCAAGAAATCAAAACCCGGTTCAGTATTTTGTACTTAAAAATTTTTGAAGGAAAAAAAACAGCTTTATCTGTTTTTACCTAGGAAAAAGTTTGATTGCCGAAGGGAGGAGCGATGCTTGTGTTGTTAGGATCAGACTGGATATCGGAACCATCACCTTTCTCTGGTAATTAAAAAAACAGAAAAATTGTGTCAAAACGATTATTTCAAAAGACGAAAGATATAAAAAGATTGAAATTAAAATGGATTGATACTTTTGGAAGGGGCGGGAAAGCGGATGGTTCTCGCCGGAGGATCTTTTCGGTTAGGAGAGAAGATTGAGAAAGAAGAGGAGGATGTTGAGACGATAGCGGCAGCTTGAAAGCTGAGAGCTTCCATGGGCAACGCGGTGAGTTAACTCTGTCGTCGATTAGAGAGAAAGCTTGAAAAGAAATAGCTTTTTTTCACGAAATTGTTGGATCTTCTTAGACAAATTCAGGATAAGTACTTATAAAAGCCATTGTTTTCCAGACACGTTTCCGGAGGGGATGCCTTGAAAAACATACATTTACTTGATGTAAGAACAACAGCCCATTAAGGCTCATTTTCAGAGCTTGGGGTCCAATGGATAACAGAATCAAACCCAACAACATGAAAAGACTGGAGCTTGAGGACACACTTACAACTCATAATTGCTTGAGAAATGAGAATTTCACTTGTATGAACCAATGGGGGATGCAGATATCTCGAAATCACTCATTCCACCAGTTATCTTCAAGTTCACAACACAATTCAGCCAATCATGCAATTAACTTTGACCGTACAAGATAAAAACAACGACAGATGTGGCCTTGAAACAATGAAGATGAAATTAATCCATTAAACGGTTTCAGAGTTTTAAAAAATAATGTTAATTTTCTTAAAAAAAATTAATGTGATTTTTAAAAGTATGTGCGCATCATTAATTGATTGTCAATTGAGTCAATAAATTAGGTGATGAAATATTATTTTGTCAATTGAGTCAATAAATATTATCTTGTAATAGCGATTAATTGTCTAATTAATCTACTAATTTTTTAAGACAGTTTTAATTTAATCATAAAAAATGGTTGTTGTTGCAATTTTATCAGTCATTAGAGAAATTTCATCATAATAGAGACACTGAAACCCGAATTAAACCCTTCAAGGAATTACGCACAATTTTGCTGTACTTGACCAAAGAAGCATGTTTTAACCATGATGCTTGATCTGAAGTTGAAGAATGGAAGATGATAAAGGCGGGTACTTGTTCAGCTTACTCTTTCTCCAACTTTATCAAGCGAAATTCTCTCTTTCTCAAAACGAAAGGTCTTTGCAGTGTCATTCCTTCAAGCTCTTCGCTTCAGCTTCACTCTCATTTAAATTTAGACTATTTTGTCTCTGCTTTAATTGTTGCTTTAAACTCTTGCTCTCGTGTCTCCTACTGTCAGGCTATTCATGCTCGAGTTATCAAATCTGTGAATTACCGTCATGGATTCATCGGTGACCAGTTGGTTACAAATTATGTAATACTAGGATATCCGGAAGATGCACAGACTTTGTTTGATGAAATGCCTGAAAAAGATTTGGTGTCCTGGAATTCTTTAATTTCAGGGATCACGAAGTGGGTTTACAGCTAGATACACGAATGCCTTTAGTAGAATGAGATTTGAAATAGATATGCAACCAACTTTTGTCACTTTTTTATCTATAATATCAGCTTGTAGTGATAAGGGAGCTTTAAGTGAAGGCAAGTGCATTCATGCCTTTGCAGCGAAACTGGGTATGCTAAATGAAGTGAAAATTGCGAATGCTCTTTTAAATATGTATGGAAAGTCTGGATATTTACTTCGAGCTTGTTCGTTATTTGAAGCAACTCTGTGGCATAATTTAGTGTCTTGGAATTCAATGATTGCAATTTACGTTCAAAATGAGCTTGCTGAGGAAAGTCTGGGAGTTTTCGTTACGATGAGAAGGGCTGGAGTTGAGTTTGATCATGCTACTATGTTGACTGTTCTTCAAGCTTGTGAAAACTTGGGCTTCAGAAATTTAGCTGGGTGCATTCATGGTTTAGTTTTAAGGTCTGGTTTAACTGCTAATGTGAGTGCTGCAACTGCACTTTTGAACTTGTATGCGAAGTTAGGGTGTTTACCTGCTTCAAGTAAGGTTTTTGGAGAGATTATATATCCGGACAAAGTGGCGTGGACTGCCATGCTTGCAGGCTATCCTGTGCATGGCTATGGAAAAGATGCAATAAAGCTCTTTGAAGTTATGGTGAGAAATGGTGTACGGCCTGATCATGTTACCTTCACTCACTTGTTAAGTGCTTGTAGTCATTCGGGTCTTGTCAACGAGGGAAAGCATTACTTCAAGATTATGTCTGAAGTTTACGGGGTGGAGGGTAAGTTGGACCATTATTCTTGCATGGTTGATCTTCTTGGCCGGTCGGGCCTTCTCAATGATGCTTCTGATATGATTAGATGCATGCCAATGGAGCCAAGCTCTGGTGTCTGGGGTGCTCTACTTGGTGCTTGCAGAGTCTACGGTAATACCGAACTTGCAAAGGAAGTTGCAGAGAGATTATTTTCTATAGATCCGTCAGATGCCAGAAACTACATCATGCTGTCAAATATTTATTCTGCAGCTGGACTGTGGAGAGACGCTTCAAAAGTGAGGGCATTAATGAAAGAGAGGTCTCAACAGAACACCTGGATGTAGTTTTGTAGAGCATGAAAAGAAAATTCATCGGTTCGTTGCGGGTGATAGATCTCACCCTGAGGCGGATAGGGTATATAAGAAGCTCGAAGAATTAATTGGAAAAATAAGGAAAGCTGGTTTCTTGTCCAAAACAGAGTTCGTTTTACATGATGTTGATGAAGAGCTGAAAGAGAATATGATCAATGAACATAGTGAGAAGTTAGCCATGGCCTTTGGGCTTTTGGTGACTGATGCTTCACTGCAACTAATTATTACAAAAAACCTTAGAATATGTGGTGATTGTCATAGTATGGCAAGGGCTGTATCGCTGATTGAGAATCGTACCATCATAATTCGAGATCCAAAGCGGTTTCATCACTTTTGCAATGGATTATGTTCTTGTGGAGTTACTGGTAATCCCTCTACCGTACTTAGATATGTATTAGAATATTTTTTTACTATTGAAAACATATACACGTTGTGTAGAAGTAACTATATGAACTCGAATTTTCTAATAAAACAACATTCCTTGTATTATTGATTCAATTCTGATACTAAATTGTAGATAGTGTTCTGTCGGCTAACTTAACGCGTTACCATACCCATTGTTAAAGCAAAATGATAAGAAAAAAGTCCTTTTTTTCAGATTGACTGAATCTTTAGGTGGCTCATGGTTTTAGTGACAGCACATTGTTTATCACTAATCTAATAAGTATTAATAGTTATATTTTGTAAAATAACTTTTAATAATCTCAAATAGCCCTTGTTGATAAAACGAGAAGAAATAAATAAGCAATGTGTCCTTAATCTAACTACAAATTTGACTTTGATGTGATTTGGCAACTACATCTCATCCTTTTCTTCCGCCATGAAATTTGACGGAAAGTTGGATTTAAAATACTTTTAAAAAGTTAATTAAAATAATTAATTATTTATTTTGATAAATTTTAAAGTTATTAAATAGCGGGACATCCTTTACTTTTCCAACAGCAGTGGCCGGCTTTATATGGTAATTCGATAGGCTTCTGTTTCCTTTGGGCCCATTAAATTTTCAATTGAATGCAGATTAATATATTTTTAATTTGCATAAATCTCGAGATTTGGGGGACAAATCTTATCTTCAAAAACATATGCTTTTGCTTTTATTTGATTTCAGTTGAATCATTTCTCTCTCTCTCTCTTTATACGGCAATTAAGAAATATATAGTCTTTATTTGATTTGTGGTTGAAAGGATTTTATTTTTGGAAGTTTAAGGTTCAAGTATTATAAATTATAAGAAAAATGAATTTTTATTTTAAATTATTAATAATATTTAAAATATAGATTACCTTATAATCACTCTAAATTAATAAAAAATAAAAGTATTTGTTTATGTAAGGAAAACATATCAAAAGAAAATAATTATGATGATGACAAGTGTAATTAGAATAAGTCTTTATAAAAAAATAACTAAACTATATTTTTTTCCTTTTAGATGTTTTAATTTTTTTTATTAATCTCTGTCAATAAATATAAACAAAATTGAAATGACCGAAAACAAACATGAATGATGCCTGAAACTCCACATCCAACCTCAAACCAAAATTGAAACCAAAGAAATCGAGACTCCACAATCATGCACGACCCTAAACTTGCGGTTAACGATGGACAGTGATTACTAATTAAGGTTTAAGGTTTGCTATTTGAGATTTTAGGTATTTAAATATAGGATTTTGGTAATTTAGGGTTTTAAGATGATAGTATGGGTGGTGACTATCAATGGATGGGCAAAGATGAATAGGTGTTCGGTTAACGACAATGGCGTTAGACCATGTGGGTATAAAGATTAGAAATAGGATTTTCAAAATAAATTTTTAATTTATATTTGAAAATAATTTAGGGGGTTTTTTAATTATAATTTTACTTTTAAGTTTTTTAAAATAAAATTTTTAAGATTATTATAATATGACTTGTGTACTTAATGAAATTTTTTAATGATCGTTATGGTAGGGACACTTAAAATGATAATGTTTGTAACGTTAGATACATGAATTTAAAAAAAAAAATTAGACACCTAAATAGGAAAAAAGAATAATTTGAATATTTTTTTATGTACCTTAAAACAATTATATCAATAATTAATCATGATAACTCTCAACTTTTTTTATTTTTTTGTTATTTAGTGACTTTTAATTATGTTGTGTAATTGTAATCTACCAATCAAATATGTTAAAAAACTATAATTATAATTTAAATTTTTTTATAATTATTATCCAATTATTTACGTTTTCTTATAGTTTCTTTGTGACGTTGAAATACAGTCTGATCTTTTAAGAATGTTTTTACTATAAAATGAAAATATATACTAATTTTTAAATTGCGAACAAAATCCGAATATTAAAAATTATGTTGAAAATTAGAAAAAACTGAGATTGAATAATTCTGCTTGTATTAGAATGAGTATAATACAAGCATATATACATTTTTAATCTAACTAACTATCTGACAATTAGTTATAATTAAAACAAAAAATAACAAATTTAACTTCTAACACTCCCCCTCAAGTTGGAGAGTAAAAGATATCTTTTACACCCAACTTGGATACAAGATATTCATGTTGTTGCACACCAAGAGCTTTAGTAAATATATCTGCTAATTGTTCTGAAGAAGACACAAATTCTATCTTGATAAGCCCTTCTTGTATTTTCTCTCTTACAAAGTGGCAGTCAATCTCTATATGCTTTGTGCGCTCATGATAAACTGGATTTGCTGCAATCTGAAGAGCAGCCTTGTTATCACAATATAGCTTGATCGGATATTTTCTTTCCAACCCAAGCTCGTTGGCCAAACCATTTAACCAAGTCAATTCTGCCGATGCAACAACCATGCTTCTATATTCTGCTTCAGCAGATGATCTGGCTATAATATTTTGCTTCTTAGATTTCCATGAAATCAGAGAACTTCCAAACTTGATTCAAAAACCAGAAACAGACCTTCTCGTGATAGGACACGCAGCCCAATCTGAATCACAATATGCTTCAAGTTCATTGTTGCTGTTCGAATTCATCAATATCCCTTGACCTGGATTCTTTTTAATGTACCTCACTTTCCTCAAAGCAGAAAACAAGTGAGATTCCTTAGGCTGTTGCATAAATTGGCTCAAGTAATGTACATCAAAGGTTATATCAGGTCTGGTATGTGTTAGGTAAATGAGTCTTCCAATAAGTCTTTGATAAACACTCTTGTCAACTAACAATTCATCTACTTCATTACTCCCTGATGTGCACAGCTTATCATATTCTATAGTAGTAAGCCTAATGTTCTGTTCAAGAGGTGTTTTTGCTGGTTTTGAACCACTCATTCTTGTTTCCTCAATCAACTCAAGTGCATACTTACGCTGATTAACTAGAATTCCTTCTTTTGATCTCATAATCTCAAGACCCAAAAATACTTCAGTTCACCAAGATCTTTCATTTTAAATTTCTTGTTCAAAAGACTCTTCAAATCATCAATCAAACAATTATCATTGCCAGTGATAAACAAGTCATCAACATAAATCAGCAAAACTACAATCTTTTTATCCTTTCTCATTGTGAACAAAGAATAATCAAACTTACTTTGTTCATAACCAGCCCCTAAAAGAGCCTTAGTTAACTTCAAATTCCACTACCTAGATGCTTGTTTCAAACCATAGAGGGATTTTTGCAATCTACATACCATATTCTCCCCCTGACTGCAAAAACCAGGAGGAAGTTCCATAAACACTTCCTCAGACAAATCTCCTTGTAAAAAAGCATTATACACATCAAGCTGAAACAGAGGCCAATAAAAAACAGAAGCAATGGCAAGGAGAAAATGAACAGTGACCAACTTAACCACTGGTGAGAAGGTATCCACATAGTCTACACCCTCCTTCTGGCTATAGCCTTTGGCTACCAACCTGGCCTTAAACCTTTCTATAGTACCAGCAGCATTGTATTTAATCCTATAGACCCATTTGCAGCCAATAGGGACTTTTCCAGGAGGTAAAGATACAACTGACCAAGTTTTATTTGTTTCAAGGGCAAGAATTTCATCTTTCATAGCCTGTACCCCCTCTGGATGTTGAATTGCCTCATGATAGGATGTAGGTTCAACAGATTTTGAAATAGAAGAAACTGTCGAAACGGTTTCCTTCCCTTGATGAGATTTTAAAAACCATACCAATTTTTAATTATCTCTTTATGATTGATTTTGAATTAAAAGTGAATGTGATTAAAAAAAAACCTCTCGTTTTGAAAATTTGGCAATTCCTTTACGATAGAAAAATATGGTTCGAAGAGTCGCCATCAATCTTTGATTAGGGTGTGATTGGGCACCCAAAAAAATATATTTGTCATTTTAATAAAATATTAATTTTAATTAAAAAGACAATTTTGTGGTCTGCATTACCAAAAATTGAGTTCGGGAGTCGGTTACGTGTGGGGAAGGATTAGCACCCCACAACGCCCTAAATCGGTACCTAGTCGATTAATTAATTGTCTTTGCAATAAAATATACAAATTCAAGTCTAATTTAATTTAAGATCCCCTAAAATAATATTTTTTAAATTTTGGATGAAATATAATAATACTAAATTATTTCCAATCGAGAAGAACTGATCTATCATACCTTGAATCAATCAATTCTTACTCCAATCGAAATAAAGAAATATTAAAATTTCATTCTAAATTTCAAAATAATAACACCCAAAATCATTTTTAGAGATAAAATAAAAATATTTAATTATTTATGATCGAACATTATTTTGAAAACCCTTTGAAAACACATGCAAAAGTAAAAAAAAAAACCTATCAAGCAATTGATTAGTTATTTATTTTTACCAATATTTAATGAGAATAAGGATATTCAATTAATTAAATATCAAGAGACGAGACCATAGATTCGATCTAACTGTCTTTTCTCGATGAATTTAAATAAAAGAATACAATCTTTTCCTCAATCTCCAACTTTTATAAAATGGATTCGATTTAATTGGTGTCACTTGACGGGATAGACTTCCATTTTAAAATTATCGAAAGTAACTTTCTTATCCGTTAAGACAGTTACTTTACAACAATATTAAAATGCTCGAATATTACCCTTAATCAATTTATTTTGACTCGAGTCCAGTGATGCTGATGAGGGTATCATGCAATACTTATCAGGACTAAAATGAATTCAAATGCAATCAACATACGCAAAATTAGAATAAAAATAGAATTAAAATATAAGTTATTAAAATATTATGCCAAAATTAAATTAAAATAAAATATATAAGGGACTAAAATTTAATGCGCATAAAGTACAAAGATAAAATTATAAACATATAAACTTACAATTAGGGACCGAAATGAAATTTGCATGAAAGTTAGGAGCTACAACCAGAAACTAAAAAACTTAAGGACCCAAGTTGAATGATTCAAATCTCAAAGGTTTAGCCAAAGCATTTACCCCTCCCTATGTAAAACATAGCTTTACAACTATTGAAAAAATTCTGTTTTGACGAATAAATATATATATATTATTTTAAACATAAACTAAACCCTAGCTTTATTTATTTCCCTTTTTTTTATTTTAAAGTTTTCCCC